AACTTCTTCCTTGTCCAAAATTGATATTATTGTTCTTATAATTGTTAGAGGTCCTACCTCATCCACGTCCATGACCACGGCCTTGTTCTCGACTATGACCTCTTCCTTGTTGGCTTATAACATACTCGAGGCTCTCTTCTTTAGTTGAATTAATTTTTGTCTTCAGGAGTTATTTCATGATCATTTGCTTCTTCTTTTTCTTTTCTTCATAGACTTGTAATTAATCCAGGAGTTGCTCGACTGTCATCAGAGCCCTACATAGTGTACCCATACCCACACCCACCCATGTACCCACCCATACCCAATGGATATGGGTACGCTCATGGCCTTGTGGGTGGTTATGGATGTGTACTCAATATCGGGGGATAAATCAATTTACATTGCTAATCATCATATATCTTGTATTACTGCAATCCTCACTACATAGTGTGTAGCACTTAAACCACACTATGACTACGGTGAATTTTGATATGTGGCTTGAAAGTTTGCAATCAAAGCAAAGGGAAATAAGCCTCAAGTCAATCATTCCGTGGCAGACTGCATTCAAAAAGCATAGAAAGTGAGTGGATATAGGTGGGTACGACATCCAGAAAGTCACCATGCATGGGCGTTGGTGGGTGAATTGAAGCCCATCTGAGTGAAGCATGGGTACCCAATCAGGACCTTATGTAGGACTTTGATTGTCATAGCATCTAATCAGTCATTGGTTTCTTCAATGTTGGTGTCAATATGTTGAATCTAAAGATCGAAGGATTTTCTTTTTAATTCTTACATCTTCTAGCTTCTCTACATTTCTTTTTAATTTATTAGAAATGACTAAGACTCTAGTAAAGTAATCGGAGCCGGCTTCGACTTCTTTCATATGTAAGGCTTCAAACTCATCTCTTAATGTTTGGAGACACCTTCTGACTTACTCCGGTCCTTTATAAGAGGTATGAAGCTTCTCCCATGCCTCTTTGGCAAACTTCGCATCAAGAATTTTCTCAAAAGCATCATTATCTAATCCTTGAAAGATTAGATAGAGAGCTTTCTTGTCTCTCTTTCTTGAATATCTTAAACTATCCTTTTGAGTTTGGGATAGACTTGACTCGTCTTGTGGGTCATTGTAGCCATTCTCTACTATCTCCCATACATCTTGCGCTCCAAGAAGGGACTTCATCTTGATGCTAAAATTGTCATAGTTGCTATTGTTGAGCGTTGGGATTTAGAAGGGGATTATATCGTTGCTTGCCATCTCTTTAGAAAGAAACTTTGGCTCTGTTACTACTTTGTTGGAAAATAAGAGGTTATTATAAAAGGAGGAATTCTAAAAAATAAGAGGAATAATTATAAAACTACTTTTATTTCACTCTTACACTTCTTGATTCTACTTCATACAAAACTCAAAGACACCACATCAATTTATACTAATGACACTCCAATTAGGATTGTGCTAAGAGATTTCAACCTAATGATAGCTATCAACTATGTACAATATTCTCCTATATTCATTTACAAAAATAATTAATTACATATTCTAGAATTCTCTAAATTACTCTTTTAAAATATATTTCTAAAATTCTCTAAAACATTCTTCATAAAATGAGACTCTAGAATTTCTATAGACTTTTATGAGCTCAATTAAAAGGCCCAATAAATTAAATCAAGTTTAATTTTCAACAAGTAATTGCAATTTCCATATGCCAAACAAATCTCTTCATTGTATATCTCCTCCAACAAAATACAATAAATTCATATTCCCCATAAATAAATTAAAAATTCTAACTTTATATATGAAATACCTCCAATGATATAATTTAATATTATTGAGTTTTATTTGATATAATGATTTGAATTGAGTTCTATTAATTATAGAGGAACATGATTTGACGAATCAAACAACACAAAAAAAAATTCCTCCGTTCCTCAAAAACAAAAAAGACAAAAAAATCTCAAACAAACAAAGCCTGAAATAGATTTCAAGCATCCGCTACTGCTAGCTTCGATTAAATTCGCTAAAAAAACTAGTGATCCCTCTCGGTCTCTTCCATCCTCCCGTGTCCGGTTACCCTTCACCCAATTCCTTGGTCTCCCATATCTCTTTCCTGGCCACAGAAGAAGCATCTTTATGGAAAATGTGGAAGCATCGCACGTCAGAATCAATTATGATAGCTTTGCCGTTACTCATTCGCTTACTCTCTCCCCAACTCTTTTTGACTCCGACTTCTTCATCTAAGCTCCAATATCGAATCTGAGGATCTTCATCTTGCTGGCACTCGGAGAATGACGAGAGGATAGGAGGGAGGAGAGGCGGATGAATCCTAATTTTAATTTCAGTATTGAGTCGAGAGTATCTCAAATTCGCAGCGGCTCTTTCTTCCCATATTGTTCTCAAGTTCATAATCTACCAGCTAGTGATCCTTCTGTTGTTTGGGACTAACGTTTCCGAGGATGAAACCAGAAGAGCAGCAATCTAGGTCATCAAGGTTACTGGACGAGCTCTGTGCATTCCTTTTCACCACCCTGCGTTTTCCCAGGACCGAAATCCCCTGCGCAGGCCACACTGCGCTGGCGGCGCGGGAGAGGTTGCCGCCGCTTTCGCCTGGGGGGCTGACTGCGCTGATGCTGGGCATCTCTCTGTCGTTGATGTTGAGTGGGTCGATCACGTTCATGATCGGTTTTATGATGATGCCGTGGGTTTTGGGGATGGTGATGTTGCTTTACTTCATCGGGCTCTTTTCAATCATCTCCATGCTGTGGAAGGTGGTTCTCAGACTCTCCTCTTCGCCATCTCCGTCAAGGTCGTTCCTGAAAGGAATCTCCGGTGCGTTTCTCTAAAATTAGGTGCTGGTATCCTGCGGATCCTTACCAGATTTGGGTATATTCGTGATCATGTGTATATGTGGTGTGGAAATTGTTAAACTATTTTCTTAAGAGTTTGAAGTAGTTTTCCTACTGAATATAACAAGATGAAAATTACATTTGTTTTGTTCTGTGTTCTCATCAATGTGCGGATTGTTATTATATTTTATTTGTAGTTAGGGAAATTTGTGGTTCCATTTTTTTGAATTGTGTAATATTTATTCAGTACGTGTGATTGGATTATTTCGATATGGGATCATTCATGGATTTCATGATTACCGGCCAATTTTTTCCTAGTTCTCATACATGCCAATAACCTTCTGGGCATTTGCGTCCAAAGTTGTTCTTGGACTGCTTTATGTTTGGTGGTAGTTGTAGGGGTTCTGCTGTAGTGAAGCGGATCATTTACATTGAATTCTTGGCATGCCAATGTGATGATTCTTGGATGGATCGTGTTGGAAGTTTTAATAGAGTTTTAGTTTTTGGTAGAAGAATTGGTGGTTTGCTTGTCAATCCTCAGCAATTATTGGTTCTTCTAAGGGAGTTTGTTTCAAGGTTGTTGAGAATGCGATTGAAAGTATGTCTGTTGAACCTGTTGTTGGCATGATGATGGTTCAAGGGTAGGGGTGTCAATTTTTGACACGACCCGAAACCCGACTCGGACCCGACACGGAAAAATCCGAGTTCGGGTCGACCTGTTTGTGAAATGGGTCGGGTTCGGGTTCAATAAACTGACCCGTTTTAAAAAGCGGGTCAGGTTCGGGTTGACCCGACAACTCGAAAATTACTCGAAAATCCAGGTTCGGTCTGCTGCCCGCCCTGCCCGAAGCATCCAAGTGCCCTGCCGAAAGCATTGACTCCTGCGCGGTGCGAGTCCCGAACGGTCCCGCGTGCACGCCTGCGTCGAGACAGTCGAGTCTCGTGCCGTCGCCCGTCGCTCGTGCACGCCTGCGCGGTGCGCGTCCCGAACGACCGAACCGACCTTGCCGCTGCCGCGTGCGTGCTTGCCCTGCTGCGGTGCGCCTACCTTGTCCCTAACCAGCCTTGCCGCTGTAGCTTGTGCGCATCCCGAACCGGCCCTACCGCGTCCCGAACGAGAACCCAGTTGTTTAAGCTTTTTTTTTTAAATCTGGGTTGGGTCGTGTCAACCCGGCAACCTACGCGGCTCGGGCCCGGGTTGAAAAAGCCGATCCGTTTACAAAAGCGGGTCGGGTTGGGGTTGACCCGTTTAGAGTCGGGTCAATTCGGGTTCGACCCGAACCCGACCCTTTGACCCGAATTGACACCCCTATTCAAGGGTATCCGCTGGAGCTGATCGTTAATGCAGCCTCACGGAGTCTTTCTACTGGATTGGATAAGGAAGAGAGTAATTGTCTTCCTAGAGAGTTTTCGGATGGCTTGGAATGGGAGCTTACCCCTTCTTTGGGATTTCTTGTGGATGGTACTGCCTTGGAGGTTTTTGGTACTAGTTTTGTGAACGGGAAGTGTTATGTTTTTCGGCTGCATTTGTATGATCTTTTCTTGGAAGATTTTTGGTGTCTTCCTTGATCTGGTGATGGGATGAAGTGGACTTCTATGTTGTATATGCTTATGGTTGGAGAAGATGTTTTCTTTTAAGTGGTTCGTGGCAAGGTTGTCATGGTTTATGGTGTGCTTCAGATGGCAGAGATTGGTTCTTCCATGGGAGCTAGTCTTTCAAAGGCTTTGAAGGTTATTGGTTTGTTTCCAGAAATTCACGACTTGTTGGCAGTTCTCCTAAAGGATGCAGGGTTTGTGGGTACTAAAGACTTGGAGACTCAGGATGGATTTTCTAATCTAAAGCTAGATGGCACTTCTGTGGATTCGTTGGTGGTTGTTGGAGGCTTGTTAGGAGTTATTTTGAGTTTAGTTGTTGTTATGTGTACTTTTCTTGCAGTTGTTTTTAGTTATTTTGTTTTTCGTGGGTGTTCTTTTTGTCTCTTTGGATTTAAAGTAATGATACATGAGATTCTTACTAGTTCGCATTTTCTATCTTTTGGGAACTCTGGGACACTAACCAACCTTTTAGGTTGTTTAAATATTTGGTGTCCTTATCACCCCAATGGGTTTAAAATGGGAATTAGTAGATCACATATCCATTATGATAGATTCAAAGGGCTTGTTTTGCTTTTGCTTTCTAATTTGTAATTGTTTTTCCTTTTATTAATGTTATATGCATCCCTTAAAAAAAAAAAAAAAAAAAACATTATGGGCATCAACTAACGTAGATTTTTTTACTAAGAACATCTCCAACCAAAAAACTTATTTTCTGCTCTAAAATACAGTAATATTTCAAAATGCAGTAATTTGTCTCCATCGGAACTCTATTTCTTGACACGAAAAAGAATATTCCATGTATATTCTTTCTCAAGCACAAGCGCTAGCCTTTCTCCCCTCTGCTTTCTCTGTTTCCACCAAAAATGAGTTTGTGAATAGTGCGATCGGCATTGCAATTGTTCACAAATGATAGAATGACATGCCTTTTGCCATTTGATTGGAGAAATTTGTGGAGGCCAATCAGGGACATGGAGTTCGGTTAGAGATGCACTTAACTACTGCCCTTTGGAGTTCGAAACTTTTTTTTTTTTGGGTGAGGAGCAATGAGAACCGTAGCTCAATAAAATTAAATAATAACATCAGTTACACTGTGGGGTTACCAAAGGTAAAAAACAATTGATCTTGTAGCTCTGGAAAAAAAAAAAACACCATGAAATGTCAAATAGCAGTAAGGGATCTAACAATAAGCCCGATTGCCATAAGTATATGTTAGGTTGGAAGTACAGAGGGCTTGACACCAACCAGAGAAAGGGATCTCTACCAACATCGTAGAAAGTGAACCTGCAGCCACTGCGTTGAATGCATATATCATCATCCAACCACCAAGTATAGAGCACCACGGCGTGTAAGGCAACACCAGGTGACCAATTCCCCAAGGCAAAAGGTGAAGTATACTTCAGGAAAGTAAAGCCCGCAAAATAAGTCCCACCAAGAAGTCCACTGAGTAAAGTAACAAGGCGAGAGATTGAGGCAAATTGAAAAGAATCCACTGAGGTAAAGTATACTTTATTGGAAGTAAAACCAATCCAGCATCTAGCTTGATCCAATCTAAGTTGGCATTTTTTCATGTTCCAACCTTAGACCAGTAATCGACCTATTGATCTATAATTTGCTTCCCTCCTTGATATGGCGTTTTGAAAGTTTATGTGAATTTTCATGTTATCCAATTAAGACTATACTTCTGAGATAAGTTTGGAAATATTTGAGATTTTGGAAGCAGATGCCAGAAGCTTGTTTGTCTTCCAGAGCTGCAAGAAGCCATGGTTTGTGTTAGAAATTAGGGCTGTTTAGTCTAGACTCTAGAACCTAGACAATAGAGATGCTTTGATTCCATGAGAGTTGTGAGAAGAACAAGAATTTTGGATTTTACCTTATGATATACAACAGAAAAGATAATATAGGAATCTAGAAAGGCCTTAAGGGTAACAAAAATATCTTATTATAATCAGCTTCTGTGAGGATATAGCATTAAATGACATTTTGCTTCCCACAACCCTCATATCTATCCATTAATATCTGACAGAAATATCCCATAAATTTGTTTTGATTCATCTATCAAATCAAAATATCTTATAACTTGTTGGAAATAGACCGCTTTCATTTGGTTATAAATGATGTAGGACCTATTATGGTTGCGTGCTCAACAATTTCTGCCTTATTATGGGTTGCAGGCTCAACATTCCAAACACCGTTGTTGAAAAAAAGATCAAATGCACCTCTCCATCAGCAGATGTGGGTTTCGTATGATATGATGGGTGGTTAGAGATATTTAAATAATCTTGAGATGTTTAAATGTTCTTGATATATTATAACCTCCTAATCAAGATTTTCTCAGTTTTGAGAATCAAACTTTTTAGTCATATTTTATGGACATTACGGTCGCTGACTTCATCCTAAAAAAGCACCTATTTTCCCTTATCTCTTACTTGCTTTATATTCAAACATTTAATTGGCTGCTATCACTAAATGAGTTTTCACATATCATAATAGATAGTTGTATCTATTGAATTCAAATTTATCTGATGGATGATGCCCAACTTTATTAGCAGATCCATTCGGTGAACTAATAACATGTTAGTCAGGATTGAGACTATGGAGAGAGAGTATAGAGACAATAAAGAGGAGGAGAGTAAGCTATCAGAATCTTTGCTATCGCAATAAGAAAATATAGAAAAAATGTTGAAAGATCCAAAATCTCTAGGTGAAAAGCCCAAAGGTAAAAAAATAGATTCCAAACTATTCCTCCTCATCCTTTATTTATAGGATTTTGTAGGATAAAAAAATGGATATACAGAAAAAAATAAAAATACAGGCTACACAGAATACCCATACATTACAACAACAACAAGCCTTTATCCCACTATGTGTGTCGGCTACATGAATCCTTTTTTCTCCATTGTGTTCTGTTATGAGTCAAATTCTCATCTAAATTTAAAAAAGAAAGGTCATTTCTAATATTTCTAACTAAGTCTTTTTAAGTTTACCTCTATCTTTCTTAGCATAAGTTAAATCTAATACATCTACTTTCCTAATCAGGTCATCGAAAGACCGCCGTTTAATATAACCAAACCATCTAAGATGACTCCCTCTAATCTTATCTTCCACTGGCGCTACTCCAACCTTTTTCATGTATATGCTCATTTCATGTATTGTCTTTAAGAGTAAAGTCAATCATCCACCTGAGCATCCTCATCTCAGCAACACTTAACTTAATATTATACTTCTATTTTAATGGCTAACATTTTGTACCATAAAGCATTGCAGGTCTCACTACCATCTTATAAAATTTTTCCTTAAGTTTGAGAGGGACTTTTCTATCACACAACAAGCCCGATGCATTCCTCCACTTAACCATCCAACTTGAATTTTATTAATAATGTCCCATCTATTTCACCATCACTTTGAAAAATAGACCCAAGATATCTAAAACAAGTGCTCTTATTAATGACCTGATCGACCAAAGTCACAATCCCCCACTAGATCTATTATTACTAAAATTACACTCCATATATTCAGTTTTAGATCTACTCAAACGGAAGCCTTTAGACTCTAAGCTTGACCTCAATAATTCAAGTTTACCTTCAACTCCCTCTCTATTCCTATCAACAAGAAGAATATCATCAACGAAAAGCATAAACCAGGTACAACCTCTTGCAAATGTCTAGTGAGAACATCCATGACTAAAGCAAAAATATATGGGCTTAAGGCCGATCCTTGATTTAATCCAACTGAAATAAGAAAATTCTTGGTCAAACCACCTTGTGTTTGAACACAAGTAACAACTCCTGCATTCATATCCATAAATGAGAAGAATGTTTAAGAATTCTTTTGTTAGCAAAGAATTGGTTGATAAAGAGCCTATTTAAGTTTATAAACGTGTTGATTGTGCTATAGGGAAGAAGAATAAAACCATGCTTAAGCTTTACTTTTGAATATAGTAGGGAATGAAAGAATATTATATCGTCCCTCAAATTAAGTGTTCGGTGAGTGAACAGTTAATTTGGAACGAAGTAGCTCGAAGCGTGTTTGTACAAATGGCTTTGTGAGAATGTCGGCGATCTGAGCCTGAGAAGAAATGTGTTGAATTTGAATGCTGCGATTCGCAATGTGCTGTCGGATGAATTGGTAATCTATCTCGATGTGTTTCGTTCGAGCATGGAATACCAGATTCTTAGCAATCGCGATTGCAGAGATGTTGTCGCAGTGAAGTACAGTGGGAGAGGATTGAAAGAGCTGGAGTTCTGATGCAAGACGCCTGAGCCAAATGATCTCCGAGGTAGCAGCCGACAATGCTCTATATTCTGCTTCAGTCGAGGATTTTGCGACGGTCACCTGTTTCTTAACCGACCAGGAGATCAGGTTCGAACCCATGAAAGTACAGTGGCCGGAGATGGATTTGCGGTCAGATATGTCGGCCGCCCAATCTGCATCCGCATAGGTCTGTAGTGTGGTGTCTCCGGCAACGATGGGAAGGCCGTGCGACTGAGTTCCTTTGATGTAACGCAGAATGCGTTTGAGTTGTGAGAAGTCGGCATTGGTCGAATTCTGCATATGTTGGCAAACTTGATTGGTAGCATAAGCTATGTCAGGGCTGGTGATTGTTAAGTACTGAAGAGAGCCGGCAATTCGTCTGTAATGCGTCGGATCGTGGAAGGGCTCATCAAGTTGCTGCGGATGTCGTCCCGCCGGTGTAGCAGGAGTGGGGCATGGTTTACAGTCCATGAAACCAGTTTCTTGCAGCAGTTTAGAAGCATAATGTGCCTGAGTAAGAAAGAATCCAGAGTTAGTTCGATTAATTTGAATGCCTAAAAACAGATTGATTTCACCAAGCTGTTTGAGAGCGAATTGAGTGTGTAGATCGCTGAGTAGTTTGTTGATGTGCTCCGGTTGATTTCCTGTAATAAGAATGTCATCAACGTAAAGAAGTATACAAATAAAGATTTGATTGTTATTATAAATGAGCAAAGATGGATCGGAGCGGCTAAACCCGAAACCGCGCATGCGAAGAAAGTCCGTAATTTTCTGGAACCATTGCCTGGTTGCCTGTTTGAGGCCGTATAAGGATTTGTGTAATTTGCATACAGCATTCAGTTGAGCGGAGTCTTCGAATCCCCGCGGCTGAGTCATGTAGATGTCGTCAGGGAGATCACCGTGAAGAAATGCGTTGGACACATCCAACTGATGAATTGGCCAGGTGCGGTTGATGGCGAGTATGAGAAGCATTCGAATTGTTGTTATCCGAGCTACAGGACTGAATGTCTCAGTGTAGTTGTCTCCGAGTATTTGTTCGTAGCCAAGAGCCACGAGTCTTGCCTTGTAACGATCAACCGTGCCAGAAGGATTGAGCTTTGTTTTGAAGGTCCATTTGCACCCGAGCACGCGTTTGTTCGGTGGTCTGGGAACAAGAGTCCAGGTTTGCTGTTTAGTTAAAGCTTTAAATTCTTCGGCCATGGCATCCTGCCAGTGCTGTATTTTGCTGGCTTGAGTATAGGTGGTCGGAGTTGAGGTGTTGACAGTTTTGCTGTGTAAAGAGAGGATCTGTCGAGGTTTTGTGATGCCAGATTTCGAGCGAGTCTGCATCGGGTGAGACGGAGGAATGATGCTGGTTTCGGCGGAGGAATTCTGTTCTATCAAATTAGAAGTGGGAGGATTAGGAGGTGTTGACAGAGTGGGAAGTATTTGAGGAGGGGAGGTTATCTGGGATGTGGTCGTTGAGGCGGATGCAGGAACAAGAAGATGAGGATTTATAATGTTAGAGACAGAGTGATGATCGGTGGAGTGATCAGTTGGCTGAGTGAACGGAAAGACATTTTCTTGGAAGTCCACATGCCGAGAGAGGTGTATTTTGTTAGTGGTCAAGTCGTAGCATTTGTACCCCTTATGATTAGGAGAATAGCCTAAAAATATGCAAGGATGCGAGCGGGGAGATAGTTTGCTGGTGGTGTAAGGACGAAGCCATGGGTAGCATAAGCACCCGAAGGTTCGTAGGTGGGTGTAATCCGGGGAAGCGTTGTACAGCATCTGATGAGGAGACTTTAGAGAGATTGCAGTTGAGGGAAGCCGATTGATTAGGTAGTTTGCCGTTGACACCGCGTCTGCCCAGAATTGATCTGGAAGACGAGACGCTATCAGCAACGTTCGGGTGAGCTCCAAGAGGTGTCTGTGTTTCCTTTCTGAGAGTCCGTTCTGTTCTGGAGTATGCGGACAGCTGAGCTGATGCTGAATACCATGCTTGTTGAGATAGGCTGTGAACTCGTTGCTTAGATATTCCCCGCCACCATCCGTCCTGAGAGTTTTAGGTGTAGCCGAGAATTGATTTTGAAGAAAACTGCATAGCAATAGAAATTTGGAAAATGTTTCGTGCTTGTAATGCATAAAATAGATCCAGGTGAACCGAGTATAATCGTCGATAAAGGCTACATAGTAGCGAAAGCCGTTTATCGACGGTTGATTGGTCGGTCCCCAGATGTCGGAATGAATCAGCTCAAACGGACGAGATGAAGAAGTAACACTTTTATTGAAAGAATGTTTATGGCTTTTAGCCATTTTACATGGTTCACAGAAATAGTCAGAGGAAACACGAGAAGAATTGGGCAGAGAAGAAGCTAAAAAATTAAAGATTCTATTGTTGGGGTGACCGAGATGGGCATGCCAAGTGGAAGACGGTGTGGTAGTCGTTTGAAGGGCAGTGACCGTCTGAGCTGGAGCGATTTGAAGAGCGTAGATCCCGTTAAGCAGACGACCACGAAGAAGGGGTTGATGGTCCTGAATATCCTTAATTTCGAAACCATTAGAGTCAAATGTTATAGAAACAGAGTTATCCTTGGTTAATTTAGAAACGGATAAAAGATTGTGGGTGAGTGCAGGAACGTGTAGAAGATTACAGAGATGAAGCTTACGAGAGGAATCCGGTAAAGGAAGCAGACCTTGGCCGTAGTTCTGTATTGGAACCGTATTACCATTTGCGACCGAGACAGACTCAGAGCCATTGTAAGCGGTAGGATATTGAATATTCGAGGCATCCGACGTCATATGGGACGACGCTCCAGAGTCAAGTACCCAAGATTGAGTGGTCGAAGGAGTCGGCTGAGCAAGAAGAGCTCTGGGAGCGTTTGGAGCTGCAGGGGTATAAGAAAGATTGCATCGATGCCAACAGTTAGAGGCAATATGACCTATCTTGTTGCAAATTTGGCAGATCGGGCGTGTGCTGGTGTTGCTGCTGGGTGAGAGAGCTGGATCCACCGTAGTCGTCGGGCGGGAGCCGTTGTTCCGAGATTTGTTGAAGCGCCTATTGTTCTTGTTTCTGGACTGATTAGTAGAGGTAACATGAAACGCGGCTGTGGTGGAAAGCTGGTCTTTCTTGAGGTCCTGATTGATATGGATTTCCTCTGAAATGAGAAGAGAATAAAGAGCGTCCAAATCGGCCGGAAGGGAGGAAGACCGAATGTAAGTTTTGAACGAATTGTATGAGGGCGGGAGTCCATTTAGTATGTACAGAATAATGTCTTCTGGATCAACCTTGGTACCAGACGCAGCGATATTATCCACGATTGTCTTGACCTGAGCCAGGTACTGCTGCATCGTAAGATTGTTCATCTGGATGTGATGCAACTCGTTCTTGAGTTGAATGATACGAGAGCGACTGGTGGACTGCAGCCGGCGTTCAAGAACTGTCCAGACTTCATGAGCCGTGGCAGAGGTAATGACGTATGGAAGAATGGCCGGAGAGATCGACGAAAAGAGAGCGGAAATCAGGTTGTTGTCGATGAGCCGCCAGTTGGCGTGATCGGCGGAGGTCGTGTCGGTAGGCGGAAGCGTTGTACCTGTAAGATGGTCGGCGTAACCATTGGCAGACAGGTGCTGAAAGATTTGAGTACGCCAGATGGCATAGTTGTCGGCAGTGAGAGGATTCGGGATCAGATTCTTGATGTTCGAGATAATGAATTTCAATGTCGCCGGAAGTACAAGATCTTGGCGTTGTGCGGCAACGAGTGTGGAGGAAGCGGGAGGGAGGGTAGAAGACGATTCTTGATCCCCCATGATTGGCTCACTGATACCATGAAAGAGGAGAAGGAAGGAGGTCGAGGAAGAAGACAGAGCGGGATAAAGGAAAAACTAAAGAGGGAAATTATTATTCAAATATTGTAACAGATACAATGATTAAATAGTGAAAATAAGAATGTAATGTGCTGAAGGTACAGATTAAGTAAAGCTAATCCTAACTAATCCTTTATAGGGAATACTTGGCAAAGGACTACATTTGTGGCTTGTTGTATGTACATAATAGTTTGATAATGTTCCATTTGCTCATAATTATCTGTGGATTGACCTATGCATCCACAACTAGCATCTTGAACCCTGAAGGGATTGACCGGTCCACAAATGTTGAAGCTGCTTGAAGTTCCCAGTGGGAAGGAAGTTAGTTTCTATCCATTAGGGAGAATTCCTCCGATACAAGAAGTTTTCTCATCCTGACGGATATCATGCGAAACACCCTCTTCATGAGGTAAGTGGATGCTTTATGATTTTTTTAATAATAGTTAGAGATTATAAATCATTTTATTAGTTGGAGGTGGATGGATTAAATTGGCAATGTCTATTAGATTGTTGCTTCATGTTTGCAGTGTAGGAGGCTGTTGTACCTCAATTGATGACGAGACATCGTGATAAGGATATTCTCAAGCTGGTGCTCCTTGACATGCTTCGGGTTTTGAGATTGTTGTTAGGTATGTTATGATTTGAATCATTGAGTTCTGATTGATGCTTCAAGATCTATGCTTGATTTTGTGAATTGATGGAAGGGCCTTCATACATCTTGAACTGACCCAATGGATATTACTTGGAAGTACTATTGTTCTATCTTACCTAAATAGCATGAAAATTTTGGAAACTTACTTTCAAGGAAGGCTGGTTTCTTACCTTTTATGGAGTCATATCAATAATTTTTTCTATGTTGTTTCCTTGGCTTGGCCAGATGTTTTTTTCCATTTTTGATCTGTTGCTTGAATTAATTGCTTGAATATATTCTTCAAAATCAAATAAGCGGTTCTACTTGTGCTACACTGGCAAACCAAGTTTTATCTTAAGCCATTCTTGGTTGGTCTATTCGATCAAATTTGGACATTAAACTGGCCAATGAAACTAATATATTAGTCTTTTTGTTTTGGGTCTTTAGAATTTGCTTAACTATTACTCTTGTAGTCTTTGTTGATTAGGCTTATAAAATAAATTGATACACTTACATTTGTTTTGAGTTTTGTTTGCTCATTTTGGTCGTCCGATTGGTATTTATTGAGATGTGTATAGTCCATGTATTTACTTGGGATTCAGAATCTGTTGCAGCTTATTTATTTTTTAGTTGTGAACTATATGACATAATGGTCTAAGTTCTCTTTTAACAGTATATTCTGCTTTTTATGATCAAATGGACCCCGAGAATTAAATTTGTTTCTTAAGGTGGTTAGGTTGTAATTTATGGAACTAGAATTTATTGATGTTATGGTGTCCGCCTCGTATTTGATAAATAATCATTTTGTGTTGCATTTACTGGAGGAAATTCTAGTAGGGGATCACTGTCACAACAACAACAACCATCATCGCTATCAATCATCGTTCCCCGTCGGGGATCGCTGTCACAATTGCTTTATTCAACTTATTTGAGATTTAATTATAAAAAACTAATATTTTTTAAGATGGTAAACATATTTTATTTCTTATCAAAGCATAAATACAATAAAATAAAAACAAAATTAAAAAAGATAATCATTTGGGAGTTTATGCCTGCTAAAGAAAAATGTTTTTTAAAAACAAAAATCAAAACGAAAAAAGTAAAAGTGATCCCAAACATGCTATATGCCTATCCAAATGGTTGGAGATGGCTAATGATGATTGCAATAAAGTGAATGTGGTTAGACTCACATTTTTCTATGCATTATGTGGCATGGTTTGTTATTTAAGATTAAGGTGTAGTTTTGGCTTTCTTAGTATATTATTTCCATAATCTGTGGTTGCTGGGGTTGTTTAGATTGTAGGGACTCTAGTAGCTAATTTTGCTGGTGTTCTATGATATGGCATATGCCACTGTCACCTTAGCTTGACAGAAGAATGGCTTTATAAAGCTAGTATTAAATTATAAATGTGAACGGCATCATTCATTTTTTGCTTTAATTTTTAACCATGGGCAGATACAACCTCCCCATAAAAAAAAGGTAAAGTAAATGGCATTTACGAATATGGTAAGAAATGTTGCCGCAGGTTAAGATGGATAGGACCATTTTCTGATCCAGACCCCCATAATCCCTCTTCTTCTAACCTCTTGCTTAACAATTTTTCTGCTCTTGTTTCAGGCTTGGAGGACTTTTCTTCTGCCGCTTCTGAAATCCAAAATCATCTTCAAAAAATTCTATTAGCCAGCCAAGTCACCACGTTTAAAACTAATAGTTCCTCCAAAGCCAAAAAACCGCTCCCTCCCCCCCTCCAAAACCAAATGACAAGCTTAAATTTTACCTCTTGGAATGTAAGAGGTTTTCATGGTCTTGATAGGATTCTCAATTGCCAGAACCTTATTAGATCTTTTAACTTAGACCCCTTCTCAGTTCTTGAAGCTAAAATTAGTCCTCCCCTGTTTTCTATCCAATGATTTACCTCCTCTTATTCTCTTTACCCTAATGAAGGGAACTACAATAACTTTGACCTCTTTCATTTTGGTCGCATTTGGATCAAATGAAATGCTTTTGAACTTACCTTCTTCCCTACTTTCATTAGCTCCCAACTTATTCATGGCTTGGTTGAAGTGGGATCTCATCTGTAATTTGCTCTATATGTGGTTTTTGCTTTAAAAATTCCTACTGACAGGAAAATTTTGTGGTCTGACTTGAGAGACATTGGCTCTCAGATCACCTCTTCTTCTCTAGCCTGGGCTGCCTTATCTCTTGTTGTTGTCAACAAGAAAAGAAACGGGGCGCTCTGATCCCATTTCTATGTTCTGGGATTTTACTAGTATTGCTTTTGATAATTGTCTTTTTGACCTTGCCTCAGTCGGATTACATTACACTTGGTTTAATAGCTGCTTGGATACACCAATTTCACATAAAGCTTGATAGGGTGTTGATCGATGAGACTTGAATGCTGGATTTTCCCACTTCATATTAAAAAGTCAACTGTCCCTATACCTCGAATCACTCTCCCTGATCACTTTTCTTCAGCCGCTAGCCCCTAAGCATCATAGATTCCAATACAAAATTTATCGGAGTAAGTTTCCTCAATTCTTACAAACTGTTATCACTACTTTTTCTAAGCACTACTACAAGGACCATGTCACTTCACTATATCATAAGCTCAGTACAACAACAACAAGTCTTTATCCCACTATATGGGGTTGGCTACATGAATCTTTTATCTCTATTGTGTTATGGAGAGAGAGAGAGAGAGACCTAAAAAGACTTATATTAAGAAAAAGGAGGTAAGAAGTATACTAAGTATCTTTATCTCTTATATTACCTAAAAATTAATAAAGTTTCTAAAAGATGATAACCTATTGTATTGTAGGTTTATTTGTATATTTATGCAGAAAGAAGGTTTTGGAATAGTGTATCAAAGGAAAAGGTTTCGTGGTGTAAGTTTGGAAGAAATCACTCATCAATAAGGTAAGTTATGTAAAAGAGTATAATTGCAATGATTTGGTAATTCCAAATTTCTTGTGAATGTGTTAATGACTGAAATGCATTATATTAATTTTAGTAGTAATCATCAGAATACATTGACATTCACAATCAATGATTCATGGAATTTTGAGAAATTTAATAAACAATGATGTATGCTTAAAGCAATCTTTTCTTAGTTGATAGATTTTGGATGTAATACATACTAAATTTTTCCTACGTTAAATGAAAGATTATAAACATGGTGGGCATTCTTTAACCATTGGAATCAGTTATGAATTATGAATATATAAGGGTTACTGAATATTTATTTAGTAAAGATTGACTATTTTTATGTTATGATATATACATTATCAGGTGGGCAAAAGGGACCCAATATGAAACATATATTGTAGATGAGGTAAAAGGGGCCTCAAGGAAATTGATACATGCATAGTAGTTGGGGCAAAATGGAACCCTAAAGAGGCAAAAAGGACCTCTATGAAATTCAATGATGATAATGTCAGGTCTACCTAGGCCCCATTGAATATTATATGAAAGTATATTCAAATCTTTTAAAAGACTAAATATTCAGTATTTATCTCAAATGACATAAAAGATAATGTCCAATATAATTTTTATGATGTTTTTCAAATAATGATAAATTTATCCAATGATTAGCTTAATATTGTAATTCATTATATTATTGCATTTTAATTGTTATTGAATTTGCATTGCTTATTGAGCTTCATAGCTCAATTATTTTCCTTACTGGCTGTTATTACAGGAAAGAGTGGAAGAAGACTAAGTTGTAAGTGATGAAATTTTTTATATAATGTTTAATTATGTTGTGAGTCTATATTTGAGGTATGCAAATAGTTAGTGTTGTACTCTTTTGAGTTTCTTAGTGGCTCTGTAAATCTTTATGTGGTATGAAAATTTGATTTACTAGATGCTTCCTATTATTATCAATGGCATTATAATTGAATGTTTTTATTAAAGTGGGAATCCTTTATGTTGAATAATAAAAATGACTTAAAGGTTATGTTTATGCATGCACACCATACAGTACTTTTCAGGAGTACTGTGGGGTGTTACATTCCTCCACTTCAACCATCCAACTTGAATTTTATTAATAATATCTCCATCTATTTTACCATCACTCTAAACAATAAACCTAATAAATCTTAAACATATACTCTTATTAATGACTTGATCTCCCAAAGTTACAATCCTCACACTAAATTTATTATAAATAAAATTATAGTCCATATATTCAATTTTAGATCCACTCAAATGAAAGTCTTTAGACTCTAATGGTTGATCTCTATAATTCAAGTTTACCTTCAACTCCATCTTTAGTCTTATCAACAAGCTCAGTAGTCTCAAAAAAAAAAAAAAATCAAGTCCCAAGATTGGAAATTATATCACTTCTCCGTTAAATTTGTGGAGAAACAAATGATTTATTTTGAGCTTCTCAATACAGACCCTTGTAACCAGGAGCTAAATCAAAAGGCTAAGGACCCTTCTACTTACTATGGGGCTTGGGTTTCATGGGTAATCCTGTTACGCCCTGAGATCTATAAAGTGGAGGAATTTATTTTCTTTTCTCTTTATTTTCTTTTCAACTTATTATTTTTATTTATTTTTTCTAGTTAATAATCGATGATCATTCATTTACAATCAGATCAATTTTACATCAAGAGCTGATTAATTACATTAAGAAAAACAAATAACAGTAGGAAAAATATCATTGCATTTCTATAGTCAATATTTGCATTCTACAATCATTATTTAAAAGAATATGTACAATAGTCACAATAGGCTGCAAAAGAATATATACAATCAAATAACTTAAAATAAACTAAAACATCATCATTGCTAAGCCTTAAATCACGGGTTCCTTACCTTTATCTAAAATCATATAAAATCATATAATGAGCATAAAAGCCCAGTAAATAATTAAAATTTTGCAACTGAAATCATAGCAAGATAAAAGAGAAATACTATGTTATAAATCATGTAAGGAAATCAATGCATTAATATATACTATTTATACTGATCACCTTTGTCAATTTATTAATTCTACTCTCGTTCTGTCAATCAATCAACCAATCATTCTATCTTTATCTTTCAATTAGTTTTGTTCAATCAGTCAATCTTATTATTCATTCAATTAATCAGTCAGTCAGTTATTTATAAATTAATTGTATCAATATTTTTTATCATGCATTGGTACCATTTATATATATATATATATAAGTATTCTTATCATTTATCATATATTCAGATGAGAGTATCTTGATCTTGCTCCTGTCCTTATAATTTTCGATCAATCGTCCCTTACAACTCCTAATAAGTGAACTCCATATAACTCTCAATCAGTGCATCATGTGGATCAATCACCTTGACTCTCAATTAGTCTCCAGTTCCTTATGACTCAAATTAATGAATCAATGAATATTAAGAGTATCATGTGGGTTTATCATATCATGTGTATCCAATATCAGTCAGTTATATCATTTTTATTAGATTAGTATTAGTTTAATACGTCATTTCAATACATTTTCATTACATTAATTATTTAAGCCCAAATTACATTTCGGTATTTTCACATCAAATCACAAACATTACTTTTCAATATATTTTTAGTATACTTTTTCCTACTCATTTTACATAGAAATTGAAAATGCAATAAAATTATTTTAAATTATTCAAAATAATCAAATCTATAACATATCAAAAATTACACAGTGAAAGTTTACAAAATCAGTGGATAATGTATTTTTGATAGATCTAGGAGATAAAATTCATAGAAATTAAAATCATCAATGACAAAAGTAAGAGAATAGTCATTTACAACGATCAGAATACTTTTTATGACAGAAGTAACGGACAAAAAGCCCCGGAGAGCTTCCTCTCTCTTCTTCTCTCTCCTCTCCTTCTCCCTTCTCCCTTTCCTTCTTGAGCAAGCCACGGGAGAATGAGGGAGAGGTGGCGAAGCTAGAGCTTTTAGTGCTTAGGACTAGAATAAAAAATATATAAAAATACTGTTAGGGGCCTAGCGCTGCAGTGCTCTAACCTAGCGTTGCATGTTGAATTCAGAATTACTGTATAACATAGGCTTCAATTTTGCGGCGATGATTTCTCACGTCAGCGTTCATAATTTCAGCGCCGTAGCGTTCTAGTTCAAATAGCAATTCAAATATTTCATTTTAAAATATATTATCATAATTTAGGTTGTTATAGATTTAAAGAGGTAAAACAAACTGGCTTACTCATGGGGAAGAGGACATGAGATTTCTCTATGGGAAAATCAAAGGGAGAAACAACTTTAACTTCATGTGAGAATTATCTATAGATCTTGGGACCTTTACCAGTCATAGTGATATAGCCTCTGTTACTGTAAATCATTTCCATAACATCCTTATCTCCCCACCTCCCTCGTCTCATTCTCCCCTCCCTACTGGTAAACAAATCACCCACTCTTTGATTCCTTTGTTAATGGGTTCGTTTTCTGATGTGGACATCAGGGATGTGGTTTTTAATTCACCCAAAATCTCTTCTCCTGGACCAAACCTTTTTTCATTTGAGTTCTACTATTTACTTAAGAAAAGCTATTTACCCAAGAAGGTTAAAGCCACGGATCTCCCTTATTTCCAAAACCTCTTCTACAGGTCATATAAAGGATTATAGGCTTATTATCCTTTGCAAATTGCAACACCTTTTATAAAATTATTGACAAGCTCCTTGCTAATAGGCTTAAATCTATTATGCCTTATATTATAGATCTTACTCAGGCTGATTTCATTATGAATAACGTGTCTACTGATAACATACTTCTAGTTTCTTACATTCTATCAGATTTTAAATTTGAAAGGCTAGAAACTTTTGTGACCAATATAATATATTTAAAACTTTTGATACAGTTTCTAAGGTATTTATCCTCAACAGATTGCATGCCAAAGACTTCCCTAGCTTGTTTATTGGGTGGGTATTGATAATGTGCACATTTCTATTTGCATCAATAGCAACTTGGAGAGCTTTCTCAATTAATCTTTTGGCCTCAAACAAGGCTTCTCTCTCTCTCATTATCTCTTTTGTCATTGTCATGGATGCACTCTTTGCTTCATTTGAGTTGGTTGTGTAGGACGGCTCATTTTTTTGTAATTAAGTTGGGTGAAACTTATATCACTCACCTCTTATATGCTGACAATCTTGATCTCCTAGTGTTTGGAAATATCCAACTCTGCCACTATTTTTAATCCACCTAGATCTGCGTTCACTAAATCTCTTCTTCTTTTGATGAATTTGTTCTAGAATGGTTTAAAGATATATGAGTACTTAATTAATTGCATTATATTTGCACCAATTTACCTTGTGTTAGATGATAAATGTCGTCTTGACTTAATGGAAACTCTTAACAAAATATAAACAAGGCCCTATACTTCGCATTCGGGTAAAGTCTAACAACGAATTGGGTTTACAAATAAGTTGCTTCTTGGAAATATGAGAATTAGAAAATGAATGTGTTAAATTTTTTAAATGAGAAAGTGCAAATTTGTTATGTCAGTGTGTGGAAGTGTACGTCTAGATGAAAGAGCAAAGAGGTAGATGCCAGTTGCATTTATGAAAAAGTGCAATGTAGCTGAAAACGTGATTCGTCAGCTTTAACGGATAGTTGAAACTTGAAAGAGAGCTGGACCACTGGACCTGGTTGTTAAGTTCTTAAAAAAGATGAAACTTGGACGAACACTAAATGTTAGCTTTTATTATAATGCATGAGGATTCGCAAACTCAAATCAAATATTACCAGACTAATTATATTTTCGGTTACTCTAGCTGTTAAAGAAGAGTTTTTTTAACAAACTTCTATTATTTCCATCTTATTTTCTCTTCTTAATTTCTTTTATCAATCAGCACTCAACAGAAAATATGATTATGTTGCCTACTAGTTCATTGAATAAGTCTAAATGATTCCAACAATTCATTTAGCATAGGAGGTTAATAATTCAAATTTCTAGGAGTGGCTATTTTTTCATGACTATTTTATTGCCTTCATTATGGTTAAATTGTCTTCATTATGATCTGGATGTCACGGATTATATCTATGGAACTACCTCTTCTCTCCAATGCTGTGTTAAAAATTGTGTAAAACTTCTACCCATTGGTTTGACAATTTGCTTAGCATTTTTCATATATTATTTAGATCTGTTTAAATTTATGATATTTCCTGGATATATGAGTGAACTTTCAAAGCATGTTTAGTTAGTTTTTCAATGTTCCGGGATATTTTGATCTACAGTCCACAATAATTAATATGCAAGTCGACTTTCAAAGCCTGTACAGTTAGCTTTTCAATGTTCCGAGATATTTTATCTACAGTTTAACAACAAATTACGGTCCTAAACATCTCATAAGAATCGATAATTCTCTTTGAAAATAGGCTGTGGGTTCATTCGGTTGCTTGGAATTAGAAATCATCTTTAGAACAACGATGAATTTTATTGAATTCATCATTTTAATGCTCCGCTATAGCTTTCAGTTTGGAGCGGCAGAGTTAATAACCTTTGTATGTTTATTTGTGGATATTTGCGATATTGAAACACTATGCTACTGATTGATTCTTGGCGTATTAAAATTTCTTCTTGATTGGGATAATTAGGCAATGCAAATCTGTCCCGTGATGGTTGCTATGTCATAATAATGAAAGAAGTGGCTTTTGGATGCTACCTTGGTGTCATTTTTAGTCAATTTGTTGTGTTTTGTCTTTTATATAGCAGGTCACCTCATCTGCAGACTTCCTTTTGTCTAGATACAAAGTATAAAATGTAACAGAAGAGAGCGCAATATGCAGTTCTGCACTGCTGGTATGGCTTATGACTCACTTTATTGGTGAACTTATAACTTTCTGGTTCACTACTTTGAAGTATTTCTAGTAGCAGATCTATAACTTTTCATGTTTTGCTGTTCATGATGTTTTGGGAAATCTTTGTACAGATGCAATTGCCATGTAGCCGAGAATATAGAAATTGCTGTTGATTTGGAATTATTTACAAATCTAAATAAACTTTTGTTTGGAAAGTTTTAATGGTTTGCTATTGTAATTAATTAGGGGGTAGATTATTTTCTTAATTAGTTGACTTAATTGGGATTTGATTGAGGATTAGGTTAGGATGCATTTTCCTTTATTGTTTTGCCTCAAATCTATAAATTGAGGGGTTTGAGGACTTTTGCAAAATAGAGAGATCTATTGTAATATATGTTTTCTACAATATAGTGAAATCATATTCTTCTGGTGGACGTAGACATCTTTGCTGAACCACGTAAATCGCCGCGTTATATAAGCAATTCAATTTCTCCCTTAAAACAAAAGAAAAAAATCGGGTTAGAGAGGGTTTGAGAGAAAAAGAGAAGAGAGAGAAAGAGAAAGTTCGATTTTGGGTGACTTCGGGCCGTTTTCGTCCGTCAACGGATTTGGGAAAGTTGTTCGTCTCAAGGTAAGGCGCGAGTAAGCAGCTGGCGCGGTCGTGCGGATGCGGGCAAGCAGCGAATGCGGGCGAGCAGCGAGCAGTGCTTGCGTGAGCGGGCAGACTCGGGCATCTCACTGCGCGGCTAGCGAGCGGTAGCGTCTGCGCGGGCAGACTTGGGCAGCGCACGGCCAGCCGTGGGAAGGGCGCGGGTAGCCGGGACAGGTGCAAACATCCTAGGGCAGCGCCGCAGCTCACTCTAAACAGGTTTCCGAGTTGACTCGGCAACCCGTCGGGTCAACCCGAACCCAACCCATTTTTCAAATGGGTCGAATCCGAGAACTCGAACCCGACCCTTTTTTCAAATGGGTTGGGTCCAACCCGAAATTTTTTGGTCGGATTCGGGTCAGGTTTTTGTGTCGTGTCAAATATTGACACCCCTAGTTTTATACAGTTTATGGTAATTTGGTAATTTTCTGAAAATGCGTATTTTTGCCTAGTTAGATTTTTTGTTTTCTGTCGTTATACAATACTGTGAATTTTGATACATGCTAAATTACTATTTACTTGTTATAATGTGATGATATATGTCCATATGTGATTAAATTATATCTGTTGGGAGCCAGAAGATGTCAGAATTCTTTGAGATTCTATATGTGTCAGAGAATTTCTAGGAGTTATAAGGGGCTAGAATCCTTTGAGATTCTGTCCAAGATAGGGATATCTTCTATATTCTGGTGCTATAAGCATAAATAACAAAGGGAGTTATAAGGTGCCAGAATTCTTTGAGATTCTTGTGAGTCCGGTAAATGTGATCTAAACTGCTATGTGATATGAATTTCAATTTATTAATTTGTTTTATAATGTTATCTAAATCATGGAATAGCTGCTATGCATTTATTACATTTTTTAGTTTTGTAATTCTCAATTCAATGATTTTATTTAAACTACAATTAACTATTTTTAAATATTCAGTAAATTATTTGATAAAAGAATATTTGAAAATTTAGATTGATTTGTATGGCTTGCTAAGTTGTTGTAGCTCACTGTGATTTTACTTCTGGTTTTTAGGATCTGAGAAAGGGAAAGAGGTTGTGAACTAGCTCTTCAGGATCATAATATCTGAGGTTATATGTATTTTGTTATTTTTATTTTCTTACAAACATGACTAGCTTAATTTTCAGTTCTGTAGCTCTTGCCTATAGCCATGTATTGTAGTGTATATATTTATTTTGATGAATGAAAGAAACTTTATGGATGACTTTTTCAGTATTTGGATATTTTCTTAGCTCTATAGTTCGTCATTTATTTCAGTGAATATCGGCAGAAAATCTGAAAAAAAAAAAATTCCAAACTAGATCTTGGGGTTTGCTTGTCACAGCCCAACACGAAAGGACATGTCGTGATCGAGTTGGGTTGTGACAAGTATGTAGGCAGTCATCTCGGTGAGCCTAGTTTATCATTTTCCATTTTCTGAAGTGAATAATGAGTATAGATTGTTGATTTGGAATTATTTTCAAATATAAATAAACTTTTGTTTTAAAAGTTTTAATGACTCATTATTGTAATTAATTAGGGAATAGGTTATTTCCCTAATTAATTGTTTTGATTGGGGATTAGATTAGTAAGCCTTTTCATTTCTTTTTTTGTTTTAAATTTATAAATTGAGGGATTTGAGGGCTTTTGCAAAAGTAGAGTGTTATTGTAATTCTTATTTTTTTTCTAATATAGTGAAATCATCCCCTTCCCGTAAACATAGGCATCTTCGCCGAATCATTTAAATCGCCGTGTTCATTATATTTGTATTGTGTGATTTTATTTTCGATGTGTTTATTGTACAAAAATTGCTGGTTTCATTATCTTGGATTATATTAGCATGTGATAATATCTGTTATTTGTTCTTTTCACGGCATTTCCTTGTTGATTAGCAAAGCTGAACGCTTTGGACCCTCTCCTGTTTTGTTTGATTCTTGAACTATGACAATTTTTTTTTTTTTTATCAACAAAACATGAACATAGATTTAAAAAAAAATAGATAGTCAGATGCTTCAAACTGCAACAGCTCATTAGTATTCAAACAAGCAAATAATGGAAAACCATTAGGATAAAAATCCTATAACTGGGGATTTAAGAACCTCCCTTGAGATCATTAACAACATCATATGGAATTGGTGAGACTGTCTCTAAAGTTGCACACTATGAAACCAGGTTTTGGTCCTTCAGGTTGCCTCTTTGTGCTAATGATTTCGCCTAGAGCCTTTGCCTTTTCCTTAAGCTCGTTATTCTTCTTCTTCCTCAATCGGAATTCTTCGGCGCATCTGGAAGGTTGTACATGCTCGACACGCACATGGATTCCTTTCTTGATGGTTCTGCTCCCTACCTGATCATTATATGAAATAACATAATGTAAGTTGAAAATGGCACCAGGCCAGGGATACAAGAAATGTCAGAAGTTTTCTACTCTTCAGGAATACTGGAATAATATTTCGTCAGATCAGACTTTGGATGAAATTCATTTCGGAGGCTGCTAATCAACTCATTTTACAAAAGTAACCAACACCTGTAGAAGGAGAAGAGTAAACGGAATTGTGGATGCATTGGTTGGGTGAAATTGTATAGCGTGGAATTGAATCTGGGTGTCTTAATTGTTAACGACTGGTCTAGTTTTATAGAACAAAATCAGAAGTTGCACACTATGAAACCAGGTTTTGGTCCTTCAGGTTGCCTCTTTGTGCTAATGATTTCGCCTAGAGCCTTTGCCTTTTCCTTAAGCTCGTTATTCTTCTTCTTCCTCAATCGAAATTCTTCGGCGCATCTGGAAGGTTGTACGTGCTCAACAAGCACATGGATTCGTTTCTTGATGGTTATGTTCGCTACCTGCTTATTGATTTAGACCCCAATAGCCCTTTTTGTGACGTTCCACACTCTTCCAGTCCTTCCATGGTAGAATTTGTGAGGCATGCCTATGTGTATGGCGGCATTAACCTTGACATCAACGTACTCTCCAAACTTGTATGTCCAAAGGTACGTCGTCAGAGGAACGTAACCCTTCATCCTGAAGGGCCTCGCGAAGAGGTCTCGCGTCCGCTAACGAAGACCGTGCCTTGCCGGTACCCTAATCCGCCGCTAAGCCCCCACTTGAGAACACGAGAAAAATAAAAGGTGGAGTGGACTACGGAGGGGAATTGGGTCTCCTCAAATATAATTTTTAATCTGTTAGAAAGCTTCAAAGCCATCTCAGCCGGTTTTACCGACTGAGAACGATCCTCCACAACTCGATCCAAATGGATCAGAACCGTTAATCATGCTCTAGCCCAGAAGCTACTTCTCATCAACCAGAGTTAGTTGCTTGCCTCTTTAATCATTAAAGATGCAGCTGTACGAGCCTATAGAATAGATCCTGTTGAAGTAAGATCGTTTGAACTATGCGCGCATGGATATCAATGGATCTAACGTGACGGTCATGAACAATAGAAGCCAATATTTTATTTGAAAATTCATGTGGAGCCTACTCGAGCAAATATTACCTGGTTTTCATGAGCTGGGAAATCGAGAAGACAAGTAGGTAATTTCTAAACTTTTCTGAATTAATCTATAATAAGTTTATTCTTTTAACCGAAGGGCCTGCAGCGCTCTGTTGTTTTATATTTCCTAATTTATTTAGTTAGTTATAAATTTTTTCTCAAGGAGGGTTCCCTAGACAACAAGAATATTATCTGTTTTAGATTTTTTTTCGGTACTTATACAACCTTTTTCTTTTTCTCTTCAGATCTTTTGTTTAATAAAAAATTACTTTTGACTGCATCATTTTTGCTGCCTTGAGATTCTTCCTCTGACAATCAAAGATTTTTTTTTATTTTATTATTATTATTATTATTATTATTATTATTATTATGAGAAATGAGGCCTTAGCCAACTGACAATTAAAGAGAAATTCTATGTTTCCACTCCCACAATAATAAAAAAAAAAAATCTGTTGACACTCCAAGAGAGGAGTAATTATCACGTCCGGTTAAATCTGAACGCATATGAATGTATACCAAGTAATACCGAGTTTTAGGTGACGTGGCGTGTGGTTATTGGTCTATGAACGCATTCGTTGACCGGACGTAATAATTGCTCCCAACACGGAGAGATTATAATACAATGTGATTGTTTATTACACCCAATGCTTTTGTATGAAGATATATAAAAAAAAATTTAGGTCTAAGAGTGTGTTTGAAAAAAGCATGTTAGAGATAGAAGAAATAGAAAACAAAATATATGGTAGGTTTTTTATTTTTTTGTACTTTCAAACTATTAGAGGATAAAGGCAAAACAATTACTTAGACTTATTTAGTTATAGACGTGGCTACTTTTATTAGTGTATGCAACAACTCTTATTATCCACCAGTCTATAAATAACATGTCCTCTAGGTGTTTTGTTTAATCCAGTTAATACATTACATTGCTCTTTCCTTTCTTCTTTTCCATATCTGGTTCTGTTCTTGTTCTTGTTGTGAGTGATACAAGGGAAATCTTGACGGGGAGAAGAAGTGTTCGACCATGACCACCTCATATTCTTCTCTGCTCGGCGACAATCCGGAGCAGGTAACTCAAGAGGAGGTTACTATTCCATTGTCGCTGAAGTTCATCATCACAAACCTCAAGAATATAGTTCCCATCCCTCTATCAGCCGACAATTATCATCTATGGCGATTTCAAATCATCAACCAGTTAAGAGCGAACAGGTTTGAGAAATTACTTGACTCCATGCTTCCCGCACCGCCTCGGTTCTTGATTCAAACCGATGGTTCAAACACCCCCAATTCTCTCTATGATCAATGGTTGTTGACCGACCAAAATTTGGTAATAGCCATTTGCTCCACGATTTCCTCATCTATTCTTCTATTTTTTTGTTAATCTTGACTCCACCTCTGCCATTTGGATCACGCTTGAACATTGATTTCATTCTTCAAACTATTCAAAAGTAATCAAGTTCAAGAACGATCTTCATAACATCTCTATGAAGAATTCCATGACCCAATATCTTATTGATATCAAATCCCTTGTCGATCAAATCGCCGCTGCCGGATCAACTGTGGACACGGAGGATATTATTCTCTACATATTAAACGGTTTATACCCATCCTATCAAGCCTTCAAAACCGCGATTCGAATCATGCTTACGCCGATCAGCCTCGATCAATTATATCATCTTCTTCTTAGCGAAGAGGTAAACATTGCTGCATAAACCACTCGCAATCAGGCAACGCTCTATCCAAATCTTTCTCTGTATACTCAATATGGTCGTGGTAGACGATATCGTGGGCGAAACTACTCTCGCGGCACATCATCTTCGTGCACCTCCTCCGAACCTCAAATGATCTGTCAGATTTGCCACAAAAAGGGTCACTCAGTCTCATCTTGTTGTCATCGACTTAATCTTACATAACAACTCTTTAAACTTACGGGAAAGTGCGATTAAATTACATGATCAGTGATAAGATGGGTGTTATTTTATTTTTGTTTTTTATTTGTGGTTTTATTTTTTATTTGTGTGTGCGTGCGGGGGGCAGGGGCTTATCGAGTTTTGAGCTTAAGCTCGAGCACTAGTGGAATTTTTAGCTCGTTGGATAATCGAGCATCCAACTAATGCTCGGCTTGATTACTCTCGTCAGTAGGCTCGGATGCAAAATCGTTAAGGTTGTGAAGTGGTCTCACGCAAAATCGCAGGTGGGCTCAGAAGTGAAATCAAAGCTTGAACGTAGGACACGTGGCAGAAGCATATCTGAAATAAAGCTTGAACCGTGCAATCAAGCTACTCGATGAGCTTGTTTCAGTGGCACAAGCCAAGCTCGTGGCACAAGCCGAGCTCGAACTTGCCTTCTGAGCTCAACTCAAGTTTGAGCTCGGGATTTGGCTGAAATTATTTTGTTGAATCTATAAAAATATAAAGAGAAATTTAATGAGAGAGAATGATATGTCAATGCCAGTGAACCGAACCAAGCCGAGCTTATCAAGTTTTGAGCTCAAGCTTGAGCAAAATTTTGTGCTTGTTGGATTATCGAGCTCGAGTTCGATCCAATTAATGCTCGGCTCCATTACTCGCAAGCACGCTCGGACGTGAAATTGCTAGGATTGTGAAGTGGGCTCACACGAAATTGCAGGTGGGCACATAAGCTAAATCAAAGCTCAAACACGGGATGTTGGGCGGAAGCGGACAAGAAATCAAGCTCGAACCGTGGAATCGAGCAGCTTGAAGAACTTGTTTCAGTGGCACAAGCCGAGCTCAAGCTTACCTTCTGAGCTCGACTTGAGTTTGAGCTCAGGATTTGACTCGCAAGTCGAGCTCGAGTCAGGCCCGACTCAAGCTCCGCTTGACTCATTTGCACCCTAGTCTCAATCATATATATTATTTCTCTTTTTTTATTAGTTTACAACCATAATTATTATGTGTAATTCTTACTGAATGTTCGCTCGAAGAAGAAATAAGGAGGTAGGAAGCATTGCTTTATTTCTCTCTTAGGGTCTCGTTTGTATTGAGATTTTCAAATAATGGTGCGGGACACTACTTTGCCATGAGTAGAATACAATTTCTTGTTTTGTTCGTAGTATTTGTTTTGTGTGACAATTTAGTGCATAATATGTTCATCTGCTTTATTTTCAGGTCTTATTCTATTTCTTCTTTTAATAAAAATAGTTCTTAACACTTATGATGTTGGATGATGGCAATGTTACTTGAAATAATTAATAATCTCTTGCATGATTTCCTTTCTCACGTTGCCTCCCAAGTATGTACGTATTTGGTATTCTATCAGCCATGTGTTGAACCACGGTTTAAAACTCATTTAATTCTTAAAAAAAATCTGACATTATTGGCAATAACTTAGAAATCATCTATATTGTCATCACTGACAGGGTTTTTATTTGAGTCATCGACATAACAAATTGGTCTCTTTTCTACCTCATCCAATGGAGTTTAATGCCTCTCAATATATTTCTTCTTTATTTATTTCAATTATCTTTCATTTTCATAAATATTTTTCATCAACATAAAGAAGAGAATAATACTCCAAAATTTTCAGAGGAGCAAGTGGTGGTGGTGTGCGGATTTCAAGTGATTATCCGTTGTGGCTAAGATGCTGGTGGATATGGCGAAGGCGGTGGGCTGGAGGTCGAGGCGATTGAGAGTAAGTTGTTGGGGCTTAGGGGTGCATGAATGCATGATTTGTTCGAGGCTTTAGTTTAGGATTTAGGCAAGTTATATATATATATATATATATATATATCGGATGAGGCATATGCTTCATGATAGTAAGGTGAGGCACGCCTCAAGGTGGGCCTCAACTAAGCTACGATGCAGGCCTCATAAAAAAGGTTGATGTGTAAGCCTAAAGTCATTTTTCACTAGAATTGTGCTGAGTTGGGCTTCAAGGAAAGTCTCATATTGTGCAATTTTAAATAATGTGTTGAACTATTAGATAATTGAAGGGTCGAGGGGCTATTGGGGTAACAAAAAGGCTGGATAAGTGTAGTTTGTTTCCCGCCATAATAATATAAAATGATAAGAATATTACTTTTATTATAAAGAAAGATGGGTTTTAGAGGTAAATATCAATTTATCTTAGTTATGTCCTTGGATAAGAAGATCAAAATGTCAGTATTATATATTATGTTTAATATTTTAAATTGGATTTAGGTTTCGTATGGGATGATTTTCTTATTATTTTGTAATGTTTTTATAAAGGGGAATTTTTTTAAAACTATTGTAAAAAATAGGTTCATAGTACAAACTAAAAACAAAAGAGAAAATAATGATCAAATAAAAAGTTATGATTCTGATTTAAAAAGCAAAATAGGAGAAGCCTTAAATTTGACTTTCAACATTATTTTTACCATTATGAAGAGGAGAAAGGAAAAAGTAGTTAGGTTATTGCTTTAGCAAGTTATTGTTGATGGAAAATAAAAAGGTGCAAGCTACTATGTGATAAGCCATGCATGTGAGGTGCCTTTGAGATGCATCTCTAAAGGGATTTTGTTTATGGTTTTAATCTCTTCATTTATTGTTTCACTTGTATGTATACTCTTATGATATTAGAGAAATGCTTTTTTTTTTTTTTTGAAAGTTTTGAAATTTATCTTGGGGATAAGATATAATTCTTAAAATAGTTTTTAGTACAAAACATTTTTAAATTAAATATTATTGTACTAAAAATCTTCTTTAAAAATTAATAAGAATTCTGTCCCGAATAAAATCTTAGTGATTTTGAGTTTGATGAAAAGTGCTTTTTTTTAATGTTCTATTTGTTGATACTATAGCATGGCCTTTTTATGCAAGATTGATTCGTCTGCTCATCGGCCAAGCTATAATGAGGGTCTGGAGGCATGATCCCCATTTTTCAGAAACAAAATTGTTTAAGAACATCAGCAATTTTTAGCTTTTAGAAAAGAAAAATAAAAAATAAAACCTCAGAATGGATAGCAGGCTAGCAGCTAAAGGCAAAAGCCTAATATCTTCCTTTATGAATCCTTCCCTGGAGTCGATCTCCTTCTCTGGCAATGCTCCCCATGACGGCCGTCGCAAGTTCCATTCTGGCACTCTCTTCCTATCTTCTCTTGGGGCCTGTTTGGGGGCGAATTATTATGTCCGGTCAGCGGAACATCCGGACACAAATCTAGATGGGCCACGTCACTCGCATACACTGGGCCCCGGGTGTATCTGGGTGACGTGGAGCGTTTGGATTGGTGTCCGGAGAAATCCGGACACCCTCCGGACACCAGATGTAATAATTTTCCCTGTTTGGGGCGGCTTTGTGTTTTTCTTTGTTTTTCAAATTGTTATTAAACTTTCATAGTATAGCAATAAAGGTCATGAGATCATAGGAGGACAATTATGGTATGGAAATTGTAGTCAATCAATCATGATCAAGATATCGTAGTCAACAACAACATCAAGTCTTTATCCTATTATATGGGGTTGGGTACATGAATCATTTTTCTCCATTATGTCATGTTAAGTGTTAGATTTTCATTTAAATCTAATAAAAATGATTATTTCTAATATTTTATAACTAAGTCTTTGTTAGGTCAACCACTACATTTTTTAACATAGTCCAAATCTAATATATTTACTCTCCTACTCAGATCGTAGTTGAGTGACAATAACAGGGAGAATGTAGTTAGCGAAGGAAAGTCAAGAGATGATAATTGGGAGGTCGAAGTCCGATGATGGTAATTGTTGGCGACAATAACTAGTGAGGTGATAGTCATTGGCGACGACGACTGGAAAATGCAAGTGAGTTCTCTTTAGTTCAAGAAGTATTTATTCAAATCTAAGTACCCTAATGATGTCACAATTGAGTTATCTTCAGCTCATCGGATTTGTCTCGTCGAGCTGCTCGATTCGACTATTAACTTTTCTAATTTAGAGATCATTTGATCATTCAATTAATGTTTGATATTTTCTGTCATATTTCAAGTGTTTGATTTGAGCTCATTTAGGTGCGGATTTGGCGACCTTTGGTACCGTTCGGTTGGTGTCATTGAGACTTTCAATTCAACTACGACCTTGCTGAAAATGAAGTTCATATGATTTCAAATTTAATTTCTAAAGTTTCCATTTTCAATTGCCTCGAGATGTATGTCAAATCGTGTGAATTTTTTATAAATTTATCAAAACTATTTTTTTTTTTTTTTTGGAATGCCTGTTATTATTTTTTTTCTTATTGTGATTACAGAACAACATCAAGCCTTTATCCCACTATATAGGGTCAGCTACATGAATTCTTTTTCTTCATTATGTTCTATTGAAAGTCAAATTCTCGTATAAATCTAAAAGAGAAAGTTCATTTTTAATATTTTCTAACCAAGCCTTTTTAAGTCTGCCTCTATCTTTCTTAACATAAGTCAAATCTAATACCTCTACTTTCCTAACCAGGTCATCGGAAGGGCGTCGTTTTATGTGACCAAACCATGCATCTAAGGCGACTCTCTCTAATCTTATATGCTACTAGAGTTACTCCAACCTTTTCACGTATATGCTCATTTCGTATTCTATCTCTAAGGGTAAAGCCACTCATCCACTTTTGCATCATCATCTCTGCCACACATAACTTGGTATCATGCATCTCTTTTAATTGCCAACATTCGACACGATAAAACATTGCAGACCTCAATATCATCTTATAGAATTTTCCCTTAAGTTTGAGGGATACTTTTTTTATCACACAACAAGCCCGATGCATTCCTCCACTTCAACCATCCAACTTAAATTCTGTTGATAATGTCCCCATCTATTTCACCATCACTCTGAACAATAGATCCAAGATATCTAAAACGTGTACCTTTATTAATGACTTGATCGCTTAAAGTCACAATCCCCTCACCAGGTCTATTACTACTAAAATTACACTCCATATATTCCGTTTTAGATCTACTCAAGTAAACACCTTTATACTCTAAGGTTGACCTCCATAATTCAAATTTAATTTTGAAATAATTTAATAATTTTGATGATCATCATTATTAGGATGTGTAAACCAATTTTTTTCACCCTTTTTAACTTGTCAAATGTAAAAAAGCTTAAGGGCCTCTTTGCTTTCGTGAAATATTGATTAGTATCAATTACTACAGGAAAGATTAATCTAAATTTCAGAGTAATATTTAAGGGCGATGTTTAGCGGGACCTCAACATGGAACTTTTATTTTATCCAGTAGTAAATGTACGCAGAGGAACGTTCAGTTTAGGCAAAAAAAGAGCCTGTACCGAGTACCGAGGTGTACAGGCGTTTTTTTGCCTAAAACCGAATATTCCTCTGCGTACGTTCACCGGATATAATAAAAGTTCCTCAACATGCCTCCACTCATACGTAAGAAGAAAATCACCCTTTCACGCACATTAATAAAAATACATTTTTTGGCACGACTAGAAGATATTTTTTTGTAGCAAAATAAGAATTTATTTTTTTAAGCTTGTGGGTTCCATGCCTCTTAATGATCCGATCCTCGCAAGCTCAGGCTGTCCAATTTCTTGACCCCTGCCCTAAAAAAAAGATATTTATGTGTACAGTATTTTTAAAATTTTATTTTAAAATAATTAAAAAAATTTAAATAAAATTTGAATAATTTAATATTTTAAGATTTTATAAAGCAATTAAACTATAATAAGAAGTTGTTAAAATGAATTGACAGGCTGAGTTCAGATTTGATTTGAAATTCATCCAACCTAAGTCCAAACAATCTGAATCCAAACAGTACAATAAACGGGTCAAATATATCAATTCAAATCCGACTCATTTATTAACTATATTTATAATATTTGATAAAAAATTAGAATATTATACACACAAGTAAAGAATTTTTTTAAAAAAATATTTTACCCAATTATAATTTAGATTTTCTTTTAAAATGTCAACTGAAAATGATCATTACAGAATTTAAGCATTATAATAAAATATTAAAAAATAAATAACTCAGATATATAGTTAATTAATGCATCTTCAATGATACCTCGTTAAGAAATTAGACGTTAATAAGTTATAATATCTTATTATTATTATTATTATTTTTGGAGAAGTGCTATTATTTAATTAACAATTTAAGATATTTTAAAATTCTACTCGAAAAGCCGTAAAAATACCGGACTTTATATTTAGTTGGTAAATATTTATTTTGTAAGGCACACTGGGAACATTGGGAACACCCATAGCCATTTAATACAGAGCTTTAACTCTTACTATCTTTTCGCTCGCACCTTGAACGGCCGCTTTTAAAGTACTTCGTCTGAGGCTGGACCATTGAATAAATTTTTTATAATTTATTAATATTTGATAAATTTTGTATGAACAGAAACTCCAAAACCTTGCGGAGCCCATTTTACTGTTATGAGGAACCCATTGGAGGATTTTCTGCTTTGGTGAAGTATGAACTTCTCAACATTTGTTAACTAATCTAGAATTTATTTAAAAATATTGACTCTTCACCACTTACTGAAAAAAAAAATACATTGTATGCGTCTACTGAAAATTCACCAAATTACATTAAAATTTTGACGCAAGACCGCCGTAAATCTCGCTTTTCATGCAAAGATTGGGATGAGACAAGTCATATTAAGATTGAACTTATCAAATTGAAGAAATTATTATTTGCAAGGCTGAACGTATCTCTATATTAAGAGGCGAATCAGGTGCAGTCATGCCAGCGATATTGAGGCACGATGCAAGGCCGTAATATCGAGCGGGACCGAGACGATGTACAGATCGAAGGAATGACATGACGTATTATGATTGGTTGGCCTCCAAACGACATTCGGCGTAATAATTTATCATCAAATTGAAGACAAAATTGAGCCATATGGATTAAACTATGGCAGATTATGTATGATCATCGATTTGATCATGCATTATGATTGGATTTGATCATGTAACACACCAAAATTAAAAATTAACATATTAATTTCACTTACATTTTCTTTAAACCATCCTAACACATGAATATTAGTAATGAAAGTTATTTTAATAAGATAAAACTCTTAATTTATTTTCTAGAGTTTTCATATAAAAATAAAGTAAATTTCTTCAAACATAATTTTTTATTATATGTAAGATATCATTCATAATTAAGAAAAATAAAAATTTATATAAAAAATTACTACGTGCAATAATATTTAAGTCATAAATTTAGACAGTTTTAAAATATTGTTTGAAAAATTATTCGATAAATCCATATTTTTAATGTTCTTGATCAAAATTCCATAAAATAAATATATCTTAACCTAAAAAAAAACAACCTTCTTGGCTATCGTTCCCTGTAGTCTCCGTCTATAAATAATACAGCCCTTCACGTGGCTCCGCTGCTCCGGGTGCAAACCTCAACGCCTGTGTTTTTAAGTTTTTCGAAATTTAATAATCAAATATAATTTCAAATAATCAGACAGCTACTTCTCCTTTCTCTCTGAGCACCCTACCCCTCTCCACGATCTCATCCCCTCCTCTCCAAGCCCTGAACAGCGGCCTGACTCTTTCACTTCCATTACTGTCATTTCTCTTTCTCCCCCGTCCCTTCACTCTCTCCCTTCTCTCTTTCTTTCTCAGGAGTCGAGGCGCGATGGGAGAGAAAGTGGGAAGAGGCGGAGGAGCAGTAATGGCGGACGAACTGGGGGAAGGAATGCAGTGCAGTGACCATCCTTACCGCAACAACCCCGGCGGAATCTGCGCCTTCTGCCTTCAGGAGAAGCTGGGCAAGCTCGTCTCCTCTTCCAAATTCTCCGACCCCTTCTTCTCTATTCCTCCACCTCCCTCCTCTTCCTCCTCTCCCCCTTCCTTCCCCTCCTCTGATCTTCCGGCTCTTCCCTCATCCAACCGCATGTCCTTCCTCTCCTCCAAACACCGCCGTCGTAAAATGAAAACTCACTCCCCCACTAACGCTGCGGCCGCGGATCGAAACGCCGAATCGGCTACACTCAATCGAAGCAAATCAGTCGTTCCGCGACCCCGTGGGGAGATTGCTGATGCATCAGACAGTCCTCGGAAGAAGAGCTTCTGGTCATTCCTCACCCTCACCTACTCTTCATCCACTTCTTCCGCCCCAATCCCGACCTCCTTCATCTCCAAGCGCAGATCCACCTCTTCAGCCTCTTCCTCGTCCGCCGTCGCCGGCAACTGTGTATCAGAAATTCCGAAGGTCGCTAAGGATGACGAAGTCTCCGCAGGAAACGATGATGCCAGCCCAAGTGGAAGCCAGGCTTCGTCCTCGTTCGGGCGTAAGGTGGCCAGATCCAGATCGGTGGGGTGCGGGAGCCGAAGCTTTTCCGGCGATTTTCTCGAGCGGATCTCCAATGGATTCGGCGACTGCACTCTCCGGCGGGTGGAATCTCACCGAGAATCTAAGCAAAAGGTCTCCATCCACCGCGGCGACCGCCACGAAGACGACGACGACGAGCAACGTATCAAGGAGCGAATCAAGTGCGGCGGCATCTTCGTTGGTCTCGGTATGACCACCTACTGGCTTTCCGCCACAGCGGCAGCGGATGCGTGCGGTGACACCGTCCCCTTACCTGCGGCGCGGCGTGCCAGCGCACCTCATGGCCGGAACAAGAGCTGGGGCTGGGCCTTTGCAAGCCCGATGAGGGCGTTTAGGCCTGGAGGCGGAGGCGGAGGCGGAGGCGGTCATACCACCATCATCGCCACCGGAGGTGATACCGCCGGCGGCAACCGAATCCATCGATGTTAGTTTTCAGAGAGCAGTAGCAGCAGCATTTTCCCCGCCCCGCCCTTACCTTTCCACTTCCGTTCGCTTTTATTTTTACGTTTTTTTAACTTTTTCTTCTTACAGGCTACACTTTTACGAACACTTCCATTTCTCCTTTCTTCACTGCTTCTGCTGTCTACTGGGCAGCGTAGCATTTATCAATTCATTGTAAGGACTATCAGTGGTAAATTTGTAATTTTTATATTACTGCGTTTCTCATTTCAAGCCAATTTTATATTTTTATTATTTATATCAGCACAATCTGCAAATAAGCTCTTTGATTTTTTCGGTTTTTTTAATTTTGAAGATGATCAATTGATCATGATTAAAAGGTGATCGTGACCTCTGATACGTGAAGCGGGTGCGGCGGGACCTGCTGGGTCATGAAATAAAAGAAAAGATTGGTTTGTTGAGAAGTTTTGGATCATTTATTTTTTTGATTTAATTTTGTTTAAATCTAGAGTATATATTGTATGATTAATTGATTAAAATTTTATAATATCTTATTTGTTCAAATAAATTAGATGGCCAAACTTGCATATAGATGCTTTTGCACGTGGTTCATGTAGGTGGAAAATTTATAGGCCCAATCATTAGGAATTGGTTTGGGAAGGCGGTGAATTATCGGCTAGTATCTGAATGTAGTTGTCGAAAATAAATTTGTATTATAAAAATTTATAGAGAGCAAAGAAAAAATAGTAGTGAATAAAAATTATGATTGTGTTTTAAAAAAATGAAGCATTAACAAAGCTGCTTCAAACAAAGTCTTATTTTTAACTATTGGGGCAATGACAGCTAATCACATCAGTTTCATGGATTTTGATCATCACTAATTTAACTTAATTGTTGCGGGGTAGAATATACCTGGCGATGAATTTAGGAATTTTTATCTCACCATTGTACGGATATTCGGTACACAAACAGAAGAAAAATAAAATTGAAATGATTTCATGAGGTCACGCATAGTTAAAATGATTTCACTAGCGTTTCATTAGATTATAAATGGTTGACTTTTTCCATTGAGGACGATCAGATTATAATAATCAACAGTTTGATTGAAATCTAGTTAAGATCGGGGATAGGAAATCCGGCGACGTTTAGTGGTCGAGTGGAAATCTGGTGACGTTTAGTAGTCGAGCAAAAATCCGGCGTCAATCCGCAGTCGGGCAAAAGTTCGACGTCGATCAACAGCCAGGTGGAAGTCTGGAAGTGGTCGAGGAGGAGAATGGTGGCAAGATAACTCTCTTCCTTCTCTTCTTGTTTTGGTTCGGGACTTACATGAGAAATTAAGGGTTTATTTATAGGTTTCTGAGAGTGGCACTATCAGTAAACAGGAGGAAGATCAACAGTAAATTGGGAGTGGTTTGAATGGATGCTGATGTTGAATCCCTGGATCATAGACCGTTTATTGGGCATTTGAATGTCTTAATGATATTAGAATTTGATGATTTTGGGCTCGTTGGATTTGTCTCGTCGAGACACTCAATTTTACTATAAGCAAGTCAAGTTTGGAAACCGTTTGGTAATCCAAATTATGGTTTGAACCTTCCAATTGTGCTTCGGGTTTTTGATTTGGACATACTGAGCTCAAAGATATCACGAAATCCCAAATTTTAAGAAGTTTGCTCAATTTGAATAAAATGACTTTGCCGAGCTTGAGGCTCATAATTTTTTCAATTATCAGATAGATGAAAATTCCAATGTCCCTCGAAATAGATTCTCTCTTAGCTCTAAAAATTATGTACAAATATCTAAAAAATTGAACTACACGTTTATATGCTCTTATAAAATTGATTTGCAAAACAAATACTATTTAATCCTATATTTCAATTTTTTAAGAAGTCTAATTTGATTAAGTAAATTTTTTAAAAATATTGTGATTATTTAATTTTTTTCCCTTAAAAAAGATGCTAATTTTTTTTTCCACACTCAAACATATAAATTTATAAAGAATTATTTTTATTACAAAAATTTTGAAAAATAATAAAATGTTATTATTGAATAAAATTACACCAACTGTCAAGGTAATAACACCCAAAAATAATTTGGTCAAATAGACCCGCAATGAATTAAATAAATAATTATTGGCATAATTTTATTAAAAATTCATTACGTGCAAACTTCGAACGTGTGATCTTTGCAATAATAGATAAGCTTCTTATTGCACATTAGAAAATTTGCAGTAATATAATGTGTATTTAATATCTTAATTTTTGTAAAGACTCAGCACATGCAGGTACAGAGTGTAAGAGATTATATATAATTAAACGAGAAATCCAAAAAGAAAAAAAAATAATAACAGCATCTCATTCGATTGAAATGATCCACTTTATAATTGTAGATGCAAAAAAATCTGCTCATCTCCATAATTGAAGATGACATTGATACGTCCTCAAAAATTTATCTTGATCGGGCACGAATCTCGATGCAAAATCAAGTTGGAAACTTTCAAAATTAAAATTGGGGCCATCCGAACTCCGATTTCAGCAAACTTACAATCGAACTGAACATCTTGGAAATACGAACCCAACGACACCAATTTCGGCTCAATCCGAGCCCAAATAAGTCCAAATCAAGGACCCAAAACATTTTTGAAAGGTTAGAACTACAATTTGGGTTACCAAACAGTTTCCAAACATGACGTGCTTATAGTTGAATCGAGCGACTCAACGAGACAAATCCAACGAGCCCAAGATCACTGAATTCCAACATCATTAAAGCCTTTAAATATCTGACAAACAGTGCATGATCAAGGGATTCAATATCGACCGTCCATCCAACCACTCCCCATTTACCCTTGATCTCTCGCCTATTTACAAGCCATGCCACTCCAAAAAATCTATAAATAGACCCCTCATTTCTCTTGAAAGAAGATCCAAACAAGAAGAGAAGAAGAGAAGAGAATGAAGAAGCTCCTCCTCGACCACCGCCGGACCACCGCCGGACATTCGTCAGACCACCTCCGGACCTTCGCCGGACCACCACTTGAGGCCCTCACCTCCGTCGGACCATCTCCTGACACCGTTACTCAGCGGAACGACCACTTGAGGCTCTCACCTCCGCCATACCAACGCCTGACGCCATTGCTCCGCCGGACCACCACTTGAGGCCCTCACCTCCGTCGGACCATCGCCTGTTGCTCCGCCGGACAACCACTTGAGGCCATCACCTCCGTCGGACCAGAACTTGAGGCCCTCACCTTTGCCGGACCACCGCCTGACGCTGTTGCTCCGCTAGACCACCACTTGAGGCCCTCACCTCCGCTGGACCACCACTTGAGACCCTCACCTCCACCGGACCTCCATTGGAGGCCCTCGCCTCCGTCAGATCACCACATGATGTTGTGGCTCCGCCGGACAACAACATGATACTCGGACTTCCACCCAACCACCACTTGATGCCCTATGCTTCACCAAGCCCCCACGTAAGGCTTGGACTTCCGCCGAAGCGCCGCTTTAGGCCCTCTGCTCCACCAAGACACCAGATGAGGCCCAGACTTCTGAAGGGCCACCACCTGACTCCCGGAGTTCTACCAGAGTACCGCCCTACTACAACGGTCTTTCTGATCTCCATCTCCTGCCAGCTACGATTCTTCTGCCTCCATCGCCTACTATTATTCTTCCGACCTCCATCAACAGACAACGATCTTTCTGACCCCGATCTCCTGTCGAGTATAATCCTTCCGACCTCCGTCACCTACTATGATCCTTCTGACCTCCATCACCAGATAACGGTCTTTCTGACCCCGGTCTTTTATCGACTACGGTCCTTCTTACCTTCGTCGCCTACTATGGTCCTTCTGGCCTACATCAACAGACAATGATCTTTCTAACCCCAATTTCCTGCCGAGTACGATTCTTCAGACCTCCGTCACCTATTATGGTTCTTCCGACCTCCATCACCAGACAACAGCCTTTCTAACCCCGGTCTTCTGCCGACTACGATCCTTCTAACCTCCGTCGTCGACTATGGTTCTTCCGACCTCCATCAACAGACAATGATCTTTCTGATCCCAGTCTCCTGCCAACTACGGTCTTTCGGACATTTGTCTCTTGCTGACTACGGTTCTTCCGACCTCTATAACTAGACAACGGTCTTTCTGACCTCCATCCTATCGATTATGATCTTGCCGACCAAACAAACATATCTATTGTAACTCCAACCATGTAATGCACTCTATATGATGTACATTTGTGACATCAAGCCAAGGCCTTCTCCCAAGGAAGGGTCTCATTTGTAATCGATTATAAATACTAGTAAACTCATTCAAACTAGGCCAGGCCCCATGGTTTTCCCCCTTTTCAAGGGTTTCGATGTAAAAACTCTGGTGTCTCTAATGAACGCTACACCCTCTCACTTATCTGATTGTGTGCTGGATCTTCGTATAATATTAAGACGTTAAACTATATTTCTCTAACGCCGAGAATACTCCAGTACGCAACAGACATGATTATTGAAATATATATTATAGATTATAGAAATTAGTCGTATGTCATACAACAATTGAAATCTAATATCGAGATAGGATGTAAGTAGTAAGGTGGTGATAGAGGCGATTGTTATGGTGGTTGTTGATGGTGATTACAGTAAAATACAATATGAGTTTTTTAGCTATCTTAGCTCTTGAATTTCCCTTATGTCAAAAATGAAGGCTTACTTATATATTTTTTTAAATATGAATATTTTGATAAATTTGACCAAAATTTGACCTAAATTTAAAATGCTCCTTTAAAAGACTCATATAAAAATTTGCTTTTGCGTTAGTGTGTTGATAACCGCTCTACTAGGTTTTTCGCCCCAGCCCCCCTGTTGTCGAGGATCAGGTTTGCTGCTTGTCGTCCCTCATTTCTGCTCAGGGAAGTGTCTCCTTTCCTATGTGATTGATTTTTTTCATTCTCTCATGATGGATTTCTTTTTCTTAGCTTTGCTCCTTGATCGTTCTGCGGTTCCGCCTTTGCCGCAAAGAATGGCGGTTAATCAAGTTAGGTTGGATGACCCTGGTTTTTTTAACGACAAATCCAACCCTCGTTTCTTTATTGATGCACTTTCGGGGTCTATGACTAAAATGCCATTTGTGGACCCTTAAATCATCTTCATTTCGGGGGTTGCCCTCTCTTTAAATTTTCTGAGGAAAGTGTATAAGCTCTTGCAACACCCTTTGCCATTACGTCCCTAATCGTAGGCCCTCTTTGGATGCGATTAGGAAGTTCTTCTTTAACT